CCGAATTGTCTGGCGGATGTCCGCATTAAATCCGTCTTCAACACTCACGTTTCTCCGCCAAGTGAAGACCACTGGAGTCTGCTGGCGCCTTTAGGTTAATCATCCACAAGCTTTCTGTTGTCTGTCCAAAATACGCATCAAATGAATAGACTCGCAAAAAGTGATAGAAGAGTGATTTGTATGTGTCTGCTTTTTAAATGTTGGGTGGTTAGACTTACATTTCTGCTTTGAGTCAGTTTCCTGGGCCGCCTGCAAGTTGCCTACAGAGGCGTTGATGGCACTTCCTTGAATCCGTTGCATATTTTTCCTTATGAAAGATGACGATCTGCTTGTTCAACTTTCCTATTCAGAGAGTACACTTTCATTTTTGATGACATCAAAGCCTGTATGGACTCCCCTAAAGGCTGCGTGTTTTTCCCCCTTGCTGTTACCTCTGTTCACGAAAAATTGTGCCGTATCCCATTAGGTTGGAGCATAATTTAGTTTGTTGATGATACAGCCTTGCTCTGCCTTCTTCAAAATAATGAGCAGGAGCATGCTTCTGTTGTGGGATGAGTTTCTAAATGACTCACCACCACAGATGCTGACTCATTTTAGAAACAATCAACGTAGCAAAACGTCCGGTCTGAACGGGCAGCCCGTAGCGTTGGCTGCAGAGCATCTCGAAGGTTGTTCTGCTGAACAGGTTGAAGTTGGACCAATACATGAAAATCATTCAGAAACAGGGAAACTTTTTCTTACATTGGTTTAGTCTGATCTTGACTAAAATACTGACAATGATTCCAGCTCATTCAAACATCCATTTTTTAATGCTTTTAAACGGTTATCCCTAAGGTAGAAGAGTCTGTAACCCAGCTGATTAAAATACAGGACAAACCCATAATTTGCCCTAAAACCAAAATGGTTTATCAACAATAATTGAACACGGTTTTGAATTTTTACTTTTTTTTTTCTTTATGATTAGTACGTCTGAACAGTAAAGCCTTTTTTTTAATGTGTTTTATGAGAAGATCTTTGAACATGTCATACATTTATAATAGCGTTTCTCTATAATGGATAACCCTCAGTGCATTACTGGATTGTACACGCGGAGTCCGTGAACTGCAGAGGAGGCTGTTGTGTGTGCATGTTGGGATGCAGATGGCGTGCTGCAAGAAGGTGAAGAGGTAACTAATGAGACTCAAAGATTGCACAACAGGCATTTGCTGGCAAACAGACTCAAATTTACACTGAACCGAAACAAAAGGATCGAAAAGGTGACTTCAAACGCACGGAAACGAAGCAGGAAAAAAAGAAACTAGGAAACGGCAGAGAAACGAAACAATCACCAGCTGCAAAACGACGACGCCCGGAGATGCCGAAGGATCGCGTTGACAACTGCTGCATGTGATTGCGCTGTCTCCTGCAGTTTTCACTTTGGGTCTCTTGCTGCTGTGTAGGAGTGATCAGGAACCTTTTAGAAGCCTGTTCTCAGGAGCCCGCTGTGTCCCAGTTTGTCTCTGTCACCTTTCAGTGCAAAGAGGATTTCATAATGCTCGGCAGAGTCGATGTGTGGGCCCTTTAAAAGTGACTAAGCTGAGGGAACTTTTCTCTTCCCCGAGTAGACAAGTGGCATTATTACCAGTCACTTTTATTTACCAGCCATAATTACACAGAAGTGGGAGGAATGGCAGATTGTTGGACTGTAAATGTCTTCTTTTTTAACTTTTTCCTGCAAAAACAGGTTTTCAAGTCCACAGGTCACCCTGAGAACAGACTCAATCTTCACCTCAAACAAACCATGACAACCGGCTGCATTTATCTGCTCTGGGGTCGTATACTTTATCCAACTAGACGCAGAATTTTTCACGGCTGCGAGCGATGAGTTGCTGATTGTTTCTGCCTGTTGATCTCTGACAGGCTGGGCCAGTTCACCGCCTTCCCCCCCACCCCGCTCCTCCTCTTATTTTTTTTTCTTTTCTTTTTTTTATTTTTCCCCCCCATTTGTCTTTTTCTGCCCGTCTCACAGCTTCCATCACGTCGGTTCTGGACTATCACCTCCCGTGCCGTGCAGTTATTTCATCCTCGCTTCTGCATCCACCGCTGCCCCTCCCCACCCACTTTTCCCGTTCGGCGTCCTCGTCCTTCAGCAACTCGTCTCTGCTTTTTGCAGCCCACACTGAAGACTTTGACTGACATGCAGCGCTGCTGCGTGACGAGCGCTCCGTCAGTGAGCTGAGGAACTAAACAACGCTGCATCTCGGAAGACCGTTAAAAATAAATTCCTCTAATCTGCTTTTAAGTTTTCTTCTGTGGTTTTAAGTCACAACCATCAAGCTCTGCTTTGAAACAGATTTATCTTTAGGAAGCTTTAATCCGTATGAATTTAGATTTTTTTTATATATATATATAGGTTTTAAAATGTGTGCTCTTGTCTGACTCCTTATCATTGTTTTCAGCCGTGCGACTTCGCCTGTCCCAAAAATACTAAATATTGTAGCTTTTCACAGGAGTCTTATGTAACCACACATTCATCTCTTTGCTGCTTGAAGCAGAATTACATTTCTAAGGAACCACTTACATTTAAATGACATTCAAATGAATTTAAATTTCAGAATGTAACTGCCTGTTATTCCTGCACCTCTTAGGTCTGGTGCATATAATGCCAAATCGGTTTGGGCTTCTATACAGTCCCAAAAATATAGTTGCTGTTTTTTTTTTTACTTGGTAAAGTGTTTTCCATGACAGAAATAATATTTTACATTTCCAGTTTTCGTCATCTTGAAAGATTCATCCATCATCTCCGTGCTTAATCCTTACAGCCACATAGATGACCTGGTGCCCATCTTCAGTGGTCAAGCTCCAGGTCAACAGTACATCACAGGGCTACTGCAGAAATAGCTAGGATTCAATTTATTTATTTATTTTTTTGTCTCGATAAATTTCCAAAAATTCTTGGTAAAACTCACAAATAAATCAAGCCATTATCTTTGGAGTGAATCTACGTGTATTAAAAGAAATGTCCTGATTTCTTTTTTTCTTTTTTTCCACTTTGGTCGTAGCACACATTGACACGTGTTTAACAAATGAGCGCGCTACTGTAATCGACTTTCAAGCCGGAGAGCTAATCACCATAAAGCTTTGTCACAGATGGTTCCCCTCAGCCTAGGAAAGCTCCTGTGTAGAAGTGGGAGCTAAAACCGTTTTGTTAAACCGCAGTTGTCTGAAGACTTCAAACAACAGAGGGAAGTATGTTTTTCATGTGTTTGTTTCTGTTTAAAGGACAATCACTGGAAGCATCCAGGAAGTGTTAAACAGCTGATAAATGATCCCAAATTTTTATATCTAACATATGTTGTTTTTTTTTTTTACTTGAGTGTCATATGTGCAGTGCAGAGGTAAACAGTTGAGCTTTTCAGCCCAATAAATCTAGTGTGATGTGACTTATTACGGTCAGAAGATCTCAGGTGAGACCGGGCAGCAAGTGTGTTCCATATGTGGTGTTATTGCTCTCACACCCTCTCTCAATCTGGTCACTGGAAGTTCAATACGGCAAAGAACTTTCTGAGCATCTGACCAGAAAAGCCAGCATCGCTGCTCCACATGAAGCAGCGTTTGAGAATAATTGTGGAGAGTCTCCCGGGACATTTTTGAAACACGGAGGGCAGTTTACTCGCATGGCTCAGATTTACTTGAGGGTATTGTAGTGAACGCTGATATTTGCATATTTTAAACTCATGGGACGATATTAATTCACGATGGTACTTACATTGATGTGTTTTTTTACAAACAAGCCTAAGGGTAAAGCTACACAACTAAGAAACTAAGACGAAATTTTTTGGTTTAGGTGGTGTCAAGTGTGTGTGGAGGCAACCAGGCGAGGAGTATAATGATGCCTACATTCAAGCATGGTGGTGGGAACTTCATGGTTTGTGGCTGTCCGCATGTTGTGGAGAGTTATTGTTCATTTATTTGGAAATATTTAACTAAATTTCTCTCTCCTTACTCCTTACTGTTCCTAAGTGACCTAACCAGGAAAGGTTTAACAGGTTTTGATGTCAGACTGGGAAAAAATATTTGTTTTTCAAAGTTTGGTTTTAACTGTACCTCTGTTTTCATTCATTATGGAAAATCATAATAACCTTTCAAGAACTCCGACCAGCTAATGAAACTTGCACCTTAAGGAATATCTATGGCCGTAGGAGAGAGAGAAAAAAGAAAACATTTTCCAGGTTGTTTCACTGAATATTGCTTTCCTCTATCAACACAAAGGCAAATTAGATGTATAATTTATTTAATGAAAGCCAGAAGCTGTTATAATGGAGAAAATCATAGCAGCAGCTTGATGACTATTAAATGTCTGAGGGAGAAACATTTCTGTGAAAGTGTACCTCAGCTTGATATAGAAATATTAGGTCTCTTTTCCTCATATGCTATTATTACTCTTTCCGTGTCCCTGCCTTTTCATAAGGACTAATAAATCTTTGTATCGGTGCAAACGATATCTTAATGGATACTATCTAAACAGATCTTAGCCCTGCTCTTCAGATATAAGGTTTTTGTTAGATTACGGCTTTGCGGGATCCTCTCCTTTTTTAAAAAAATCAGGGTGATTTTATTGCAAATCTATCGCGGACGGAGAAGTTCACACCCATCGGAGGCGGCGAGCGGAGTGACGGCAGACGAGCTTTCTTGACATAGTCCCGCGTTGACAGTGAAAGCCAATATCCTTGGTATTTGTCCAACACAGTTTCTCATTTCGAGGTCAAAATGACATTACGGCATCGTGCCGTGTGACAGCGGGGCATTTATCAAGGCTTAGGAAATGAGTGAGAGAGGTGCACGTCGTTGGATCCCCCTCCCGGAGTAAAGCTGTCAGGCTAATGCAGGGAAAAGAGGGGCGATGATTTTTGGTAATATCTCTGTCTCTTAAAAAAACCAAAACAAAAAAAAAACAAAAACGCCTGAGTTACACACACGTTACATGAGACTTTATGAAGGCGCAGACCAACGGTTTCCCCTGCATGAGCCAAAACAAACCTCTGACGCGTGTCATGGCGCCAGCACCGCGTCCCTGATGTGAACTCTTTCTGACAGATTTCGATGCTTTCCAACACATAACGAGGTGAGTGGGCGCATTTGGGATGTTGTGAGTCTTTAAACAGATTAAATTACCTCTGTTGCTCAGGAAACCTTTTTTATTTTTTTTTTTTTCAAAAAAAAAAAAAAAAAAAAGGAAACGCAACGCAACACATAAATTGCACGAGGAGACGATCCGTAGATGTTGGCTTCGACTCACCCCAAAGCCCTGAGGGTTGCACGGTGCACAGGTACTTGTCTTTATGAAGATGTTGAAAAATTACTACGAATATGCATGCGTAAAGTTGAGCTTTAGACATTCACTTGCCGTAATTTAGATGTTTCAGAGCTTTTCTGGCCTCCTGGATGAATCGTCAATGGACTCGACTACTCTAAAGCTACTCCAGCTGGGGCAAAATGTGTTCCTTTTCAAGGTTAGTAACCTGGATAATGTTGGTATTCTACTTCATTTAGTCCGGCCTGAGCCGACCTGAGGTTGTTGCCCTCTTGAACGAGCCTCTCTACACCGATCGCATTTGCCCCACTGTGTGAAATAAGAGCAACATGCTAACACTGCTAGCAAGCAGCGCGGCTGAGGCGCGTGTCAATGTTCACTGCTAAGCTGTAAGTTTCATCGAAACGGAAACTTTTAAGCCTCGTCTTAAAGGTTGACGGAGCGCTTACTTACCCTGAAGAAACACGGCGTTGCTTCTGTAAAAGATGAGTGTGATAGCTACACCTCTGCCTCCCTTTATTCTCTTAGAACATGAAATGCTGTGCTTGGAAAGTGTTCGACATGTTTAAGATAAAATGCAGTCTGAGATATTGTTTAAGCTCCTCGCCGCGGTGCCGTCGGATCGCCTTCCGTTTTGATTCGACAGTGCAGAGGAGAGATCCGTTTGCCTCCCTGGAGTTAACGCGCAGCCAACATTCATTGTCGGCTTATGTAAGACAGTGGCCAGCGGGGGAGCAAAGGCAGAAGCAAAAAAGAAAACGGTGATAAAGCCCGGCGAATATGATTGCATGAGTGAGCGATGGATGTGTTTGTGAGTGTAATTGGATGCGGGTGTGTTTGTGTACTGTTCTGCCTGTACGTAAAATCCCAGGCCTCCTGTTTCCTTCCTTTCACGCTCTCAGGGTCTTCATTTTTCCTTCCCTGTTTTCCAGTCAGAATAAGATAAGTGGATCAAACTTTTTTTTCTTCTTCTTCTTTTTGTTTGGGAGCCAAGGCAGAGGCCAGACAAGAGATTGCCCTCCATATTTTCTGGAGGCTATCTCTAATCATGCAATAAAAAAAGAAGAAAAAAAAAATGATTTGCCAAATCCAGGCGAATAACATCTTTTGAATCTTGGCTTTATTTTGGAAACGTCTGACCATTTATTCACTCTCTGGCTGAGTGCCGCCTCTCTTTAGCATCTGTTCGGTCAGCCTGTTCAGCCTGGTTTTTTGAAAGCTATTTTCCACCTCTGAGTGGCTTTGAACTGTGAGAGCTATTGAGTTTTGTGTGATCGTGATGATGTCTGCGCAGTTGGGATCATTAAGAAAATGTGGGCTGGTATAAAAGCCATATGTTGTTGTGCTTGTTTTTCCAGCCTACTGTACCATATCAGAACTTGTTTTACAGCAGAGGTATTGCAACAAAATCACTTTTAGGACCTGTTCTACCAATGTTTACATTGTCAAGTAAAACGTACCTTACATCCTCAATGTGTTTTTCATCAAAGTGTAACTGTGAAGGATGTACTAAAGATGTACAGCATACAGTGCATTTGATCTTTGCTTTCTTTGCTGCACTGAAATGGTTCAGATCAGACAAATGTTACCAAATGCACCACAAGTCTCGCGTCTATGAGATCTAGTTGATTTGCCATAATTAATGGAACCATGAATTCTGCTCTTTTGCACAAATACTGATGGGAATGTTTGGCCAACAAGGATACCTGAGTTTGAAAGTAGAAATATGAACCAAAGGATTAAACCAACATTTTTGAACAGCTAAATTTCCTCAAATGCAGCCAAGCACTTCAAATCACACCATGATCCAACTGTATCTGCAACCAGGAAGCAGGTTGTGTCATCTCTGGCATTGTTAGTTTCTCTCTCAAACTCCCATTAAACATCACATCACTATTGTTGGTAAGAGAAGATGTCGCATTCAGCTGGGAGTTACTGTCGACACCGATGTGCTCGACAATACATAGTTGCTGCTTTCATGCAAAGGCTATTTACTGTTGGATAGCCGTGGAAGCCACACGCATTAAGCAAAACGGTGTGACTGCATAACGTATCACTATCAAAGTCTGTCAGCTAAGAACTGACAGAAGCGGTCAGCCGCATTTAAGTGAAGCCAGTGGATATCATCAGTTGGTGACAACCTGCTAAGCTAACTTTTTCTTTCCGTCTTCCTATTACAGCTTCCTGTGTTTTGAATCGACTCCTTGCTAAATTGGCTTGCGTCGCATCTCAGAAAGTGCTTTGTGCATCCGTTCATTTGTAGTTAGAGAAAGCAATTGATGCTGCTCAAATGGGAAGGTGGCTCCATGACAATTTATTCATGCAGAAAAGAAAAAAAAGAAAAAGAAAAAAAAAGCAGCTGCCTTGTGTCAGGGCACTATTACAAAGTATTTGATCATAGAGTTTGTGTGGCAGCTGAGCTCATGGGCCTGAAGAGGCAAGCAAATGGAATTGGAATTGGAGTTGTCTCCAAGTTCATAAAAGCGCTAAGAAAACTAATTTTCACAGAGCAATAGTGGCTTAAAGTGATTTACCTGTACTGAACCGCCACGGCACAGACCATTTGATGAATCTGCTGTCAGTTTGCCACCTTACTGTCAAAGTTAGCTTTGTCAAAATCAAGTGCTGTCGTTAAATAGCTATTGATGCCTAAAAACATAACGTGCAACTGTTGTGCCAATAATTTGTGTGTTTTTTTGTAGACTTTACTCTTTATTTAAAGGGATGTGCATAAGACGGATTGCAGTGTCATAAACTTAACACCTGTCGTAAACATGAAGGAGTCTTCATGAACATTCATGACTGTTGTCATGACGTGTCATTCAGTAAATAATGACACTTTTAATGCAAAGTTGACTCGTTTAATTGACTTTTAATGTAAGTATTTAATGCAACTTTGCATAGAAAAGTAATTATTTACCAAATAATGCTGAGTTGACACTTTTAATGCAACTTAAAATGCAAATTTACATTGACAGTGTCATTGTTTACCAGATGTCACTTCATGGCAACAGTCATAAACATTCATGAAGACTCCTTCATGTTCATAGCGGGTGTTATGTTTATGACAGTGTCATGTCAGACTTATGTAAAGTGTTACCGCTAAGTATCAGGTTACCACAGCAACAAACAGTTTTGCTTTGTCAAAATCAAGTGCTGTTATAGATTCATCTGTTTTAAGTCTACCAAATCAGGACCGAGGAACGTACAATTGAAAAGATGACTTTATGCTTTTCCCCCGTCTTGGATTACTATTGTCACACATTTTAGAGTGATGGTTGCAGTAATTATATGTGCAAATTGGGGGGTAAAGGCAAATGGGATTTTTAAAAGAAATACAGGTCAAGACAGCGGAACGAGTTGCTTTAAATTATTTCCGAATTCAGCGATCTCTTTTTCTTCCACATGCCTCCAAGTGTTTGGCACATTTTCATCTGTTCAAAAGTGAACGTGCATGTGACGCACATGCTGCGAAGCATTTAATACTCCCTGGGTCTGTGTTTCCAGATACCGACCTCATATGATACCGCTCTGCAAGTCTTCCACCACTTGCTTCTACAAAATGACAGTATTAGTTGCTTTACTATGAAAGTAGACGGGGCATCTAATAATCTTTATTAAGGTTTGCTTACATGTATTGGTTCACATCTCTCATTAATCTAATCTGCCAGCTTACTTTCCACGCTTTAGATTCTGGCACACTTAGATATTGAAACGTTTGTTTCGAGGGAAAAAAAAATAAATTGTGCCCGAGACTATTTGACATTTACAGTGTTAACCCTGCAGGGCAGATGAAGCAACTGTGCACCATATGCTTCCATCCTGGTCACTGTTGTCAACTGTTGACATGACATTGCCCCAAACAATCTTACATGTGATTTATAGACAATCTGACCATGTGTCGACCATGTTGATTTTAACCATTCGAGAATCACCATTGACAACGCCAAGGTATGCCACCAGAAGGATGGGCCCAGACCGGACCAGGAAGTGGGAATCTAAAGTATTTAATCAGTGAAGGAGGTGGCAAATTGAAAACTGGAACACTTGGAAGTCAAGGCAGCTTCTTTTGAAGTTTTGCAATGTGCTGGATGATTGGAAATCTCCACTCAAGCTCCAGAGTGCAGCTGTTCGCGTGCAGCATTCTCCCAAGCTGCAGCATCTACACTCCCACACTGGTCTGCACATTATTCCATCTGGCAGCTTAAGTTGGTGGTTTACTGTGTTTGTGACTGAATCAACTAATGAAGACTAATTAATATCTTGCCTGACAATGCAGTTGCATAAAAATTGAAGAAACCTTCATCACTTTGATATAGTATGAAACATCTGGGACAGTTAGCATATTATTTACTGTAGGAGTAAACTACAGATCAATTTCATTGATTATGTTGGTCTTTTTTTTGGGGAAGTGAAAAAGGGGCAATACATCGTCTGCTCAATCTTGACATATCTTTAAATCAGTTGTGATTTATGAAACTTGTTTCTTCTTTATAAATATTCCCAAAAAATATTCTCTTATCCTCATGAACTCATTATTTTGTATTGTCGTCTCAAGAACTGAATTTATCATTGCACTCAGTTACCATAAATGTTGTCTATCCATGCCAAATAGACAACTTTGGAAAATGGCATCGCAATAAAACGCCAATTTGCCCTTTTTGTCAGAAAGGTTTCTTTGATTAGTTTTACCAAACATTGAATTATTTAATTTTATTTATTTTTTTTTTTCCATCGACAAACTAGGCTGCGTTTGTTGTTGTTTGCAGTAATTAGCAGATGGAATCTAAGCAAATTCTTCTTCAATCAGGTCTGTCCACTGCTGCAAGGTCTCTAAATGTCATGGGCACTCACTGCGAAATTGCAATTAAGAACATAATAAATAAGTGATCGAGAAACACTTTGTCTGCTGAGCCTGCGTGGACTGAGAGACATCCAACTAATTAAGATTTTATGATCAATTAGAAGCATCCATGGCGAGGCAGAGGAATCGTTTGGCATAAAGTGACGCAGGGAAGTAACGAAGTGGAAAAAGTCACCCCTTTTTAAATCCAAATATCCAGCACAAGACGCTTATGAGGAGAAACTCCTCGCTCATCCTCAGACAACCTCGCGTGGTTCTTACCTCGAAACAGGTTGGCGTGGGAAAGGGCTGTGAAGTTCATCTGGCAGATTTAAACTGGCTAAAAAAAAAAAAAA